ACATTTCGCACCTATGGGTACAATAGCTGTTTTTCTTTGACCATGATTGGACAAGATGTTCATAGTTGTTCTCCATCGTGTGCTTTCCTATAATGTCTAGTTAGTGCACAACAGTGTTAAAGATATACTGTGTTTTTTTCCTTGAACACCTACATTTTTCTCAGACCGTAAACTTTTTTTGATACCACCATGAACATAAAGTGAATTACAGTACTGAGTCAAGATGCTCTTTTTACACAACCAAGTCTTTTATTCAGCTCAGCCGACGTTTCGGTGACCGCTGAATAAAAGACTTGGTTATGTAGAAAAAGTCTCTTTACTCAGTGACTTACCAACCTGATGAAACTATTCACGGATGGATTACAGTACATATAATCATTGTATGCTACACAACTGTGGACAGCATTACTGATGTTTACACCCCCAACCCCCACCCATTCCCATTCCTTACGTCTTTGTAGACGGTGAAAGGTGCCGACACGATGAAGGTGTCCTGACCGTACTGGTCGTGCAGGTGGTGAAGGAACTTCTTCTTTCCGGTACCGGTCTGCATAAGTCCCCATCTATGCAGGATCATACAATATGCATATCAGCATTTGCTTATGCAGCAAAAATGTGCTCATGCAAAACTTTTGGTGCATCAATGATTTCATTATTTACTCTGATGGAAACTGGCGCCAACTTTTGGTGCTTTTTAGTGAAGAAGCCCGTCAATGTTGTATCAAACCTTCTCTGAGTACTGATAAAATCATCAGATAATACATGTCTTGAAAACGGCATATCGAACGTTATTTGAACAGCTGAATGCATGTCCCTTACATTCTTTGCCACATTGGAGCTACATGAACATGGAGTTATACTATGCATTCAAATTCATGATCATTCGATCGAAAAGAACACATTTTAAGCTCACTTCTTTCTCTTTAAATTCACGGTTTGCAGACAACATATCCTCTTACTTGGATCTCATTCTATCCCGAATGGTTGTGACCATGTCCGTGCGTGTGCCGATGTCGTCCAAGTACGGACGACACACAGGAGGCATGTTGAACCTGTAGTAAACAAACAGGAGATTGTAGTGCTCCACTATCTTGTAATCTGTTTAGATTTTTTTGTAAGATGTAATGTTTCGTTGTCTTCCTGTGTTGGTTGACCGATAC